ATCAAAAAAGTAAGGAAAAAGATAGATTATATTTACTACAGTTGCACTTATTTCCTTTAAATTTTATTTTCATTTTTATTTTATTTTCCTCTTTTTTTTTCCGCTGTCTAAAGCTAACATTAGATTGTTTTTAAAGCAATTTTTTTTACACCAATAAATAGCTGTAGTTCTATAGTTTCTTCTTTTTTTTTTCTTCTTCTTCTTCTTCTTCTTCTTTCGTATCTGTGTTTGCTTAAAAATGCTTTTGTTTATTAGATTGGGAGAAAAAGAGGTGTTTTTTTTTCTTGTTTTTGTGTCTATATTAGTGATATTTTATTTGAACAATAATTGTTGCAAAAAATATAATGGGAAAAAAAATTGAATAAAAAACCACTCTCTTTTAAATTTTTTGTTTTCTTAGATGTAAGTTAAAATTTGTTTTTCTGTGTTATAACCATTCGAACGACAATTAAAAACTGCAACAAATGGCGTTGTAAAAAAGTTCAGATAACTCTGCAAAAATTTAACTTATACTATCAAAACTAAAAAACAAAAAAAAAAAAACTAAATAACAAAAATTTCTTTTATTTGACTTTGCGTTTTGATAAGTTAAAATCTGTAAAGTTATCTAAACTTTTTGCAACGCTTTTTGTTAAAGTTTAATTGTCGTTCAAATTGTTACACAAAAAAGTACTATTTTTTTTTCAACCGGTTCAATGATTTCACTGTCTGCTTTAATTTCACATTACCATAATTATTATCACTATTACTGTTATTATTATTATTATTATTATTATTATTATTCATTATTACTATTACTATTACTATTACTATTACTATTACTATTACTATTACTATTATCCGTCGTCTTTTGCAGACCACCTAGGTACATAATGGCAAGAGTAACGCCAATTGAAATTGAACCAAAATGGGAAGCTGAAATTTTGCCTGAAAAAGTAAAAATTGTAAAATCTGATGGATTTGAACAACGTTTCTTTGATACATTGCGCCGAACCAAAATTTTGATATCCATCCGAATGTTCACCGCAGCACTGATGTCGTTATGTTTCATTGCATTATCAGTGACAACCTCAAATTTATCGGGTACCATGGTTTGTATGTTTGTTGAACAATCGCAAGAACTTCAAAAGATACAAAGGTTTAATTTTAACCTTGTTTTTTTTTCTTTCATTCACTAATTACTTGAGATTCTTTTTTCTAAAACGAATAACTGCGATACTAAAATGACGATAACTGCAGAAAAAAAAAAGAGTCTGATTGTTTGCAGGTTTATGGCTGAAAATGAAGAACAAAAAGCATTTGTGAGAGCTATCAAAAAACGATTGGAAAGTGTAAATGAAACTATTGATGCAACAATGAATCCTTGTCATCTGAAGGCAATCAGTATGGCAGTTGATAAATATCAACAAATGAATACAACTGGCCAAGAACAGCTGTTAAATACTGATGAAACATTAATTCAAGATGCTGTTAAAAACAGCCATAGAAATGAGGAAGTTCAAGTTCAGCATTGTCATGCGGAAGACCTACTGAATTGGAATTCTCTGCAAAGAGGTAATTGCTTACAAAAAAAATTTTTTTCAACCTTACTACGTCTTTTTATACTTTACATATCTTTTAGTGTAATATTAAATAATAAGTTTTAGGAGTAGTTTTGGCTGCACAGAATGTTGGCTGTCTTATTATGTTGTTTACTGGACGCCATGCAGATAGACTTAATGGTAAATGGACAGTGGCAATTGGATTACTGATAACTGTGATAAGTAATCTGCTGACACCATTTCTTGCGCAAAAATCTATTGGATATGCCGTTTTTGCCCGAATATTAACTGGTGTTTCTGATGCTTTTATTTCTCCATCAATCAATTCGATGATTACTCGTTGGTTTCCACCAAAAGAACGTCCATTTGCGATTGGATTTGTAACCGGTGGACGTCAACTTGGTAAAGTATTTCAAAAATCTGGTTTCTCAACAACAATAATTTGATCTAAGCTTTGAAAAACAAATTTTAGCGCGATTTATACAAGCATTAAAAAAGGATACAAAAAAGATGAACGGTGATTAATTAGAACGTGATCTAGATCATTTGCTTTTTTCTTTCTTTTTCTTAAAATCACTTTTTATTTTCATAGACGAAGATGGAGGTTTTAAAGACATTATGAGCAAGAAAACAATAATTAATTTTAGGAAATCTTTTTATTCTCCCAATTTCTGGTTATATGTGTTCAAGAACTGACTCATGGGGAGGATGGAAGCCAACGTATTATGTGTCGGCAGGAATTGGAGCTTTTATTCTGTTGACCTGGATAATCTTATCAGCAGATAAGCCATCTAAACACCTGTTTATTCGAAAAGATGAAGCTGGCTATATTCTTAAAAAAATTGGTGAAGAAGCACTGGAAAAAGTTGGTTATTATCTGTTCTACAGTTTTTTCCTTTATTGAAAGTGTTTATACATTTTAACATATTGCGAGCTTTTTTTTGTTGTGCCGCTGAATTTTATAATAGTACCATAGTTTTAGAGGAAGGAAAGAGCCAGCATTCCATGGAAGCATCTTTTGAGATCAAAACCATTTATTGCTGGTATTTTCGCACTTGTATGCCACGAGTATCCTCTTGTCATAATGTTAACGGTAATACACTACGGTTTAGTTTCTTTATATTTTGTTTAAATATTTAAAATTCAATATTTTAAGAGCTTGCAAAAAAGCAGTTTTTTTTTGGCAAAAGTTTCTACTTGCTTACTTTGTTACAGCTTTTACCTACCTACCTAAAGGAAGTCCTTGGGCTAACGGATGCAGTTAATGGTGTTGTATCTGCTTTGCCAGTACTGACTCTATGGCTCAGCAAGACGGCTTCTTCCACCCTGTCGTCGTACTTAACCGCAAACTTTTCCCATTATCGGCTCTTCGGTAAAACTCCTCTGGTCAAAATTTTCAATTTCATTGCTTCAGCAGGACTTGGTATTTGCTTGGCTGTGGTACCGATGTTGACTAAGCCATCACAAGTTGAGGTTGCAATTGTAGCTATGTGCTTAGCAAATGCTTTTGCAGGTATGCATCGCATGTTTCTGTTGACTAATTGCTTCCATTTGATTATTTTATAGTTGGACAATTTTGAATTTCTAAAGATAATTAAAAATAAATAGTGTAAAATAGTTTACTCTCCTGGCAACTTTTCTAGGTTTCCATACGCCGGGTGTGCAAACAGCACTATTGCAAATAGCTCCAGCTTTCACTGGCGTGATAACGGGGATATCTTTTTCATTTGTAGCACTTGCAAGGTTAGTTTAGTGGTTTAAGTCGAACTACTACTTATACTGCTGATATTTTCTTATTAAAGAGTCATTTTTTAACATTTTTTGAGATGAAGACTTAATAACAAAGTTGAGTAACACCTTGCAGAAGCAAATCCCGTTATTAAAATTATTAATTTCAGTATTCTCAATAAATTGATCAACGGGTTTATTCTGGATAGAGGGTCACAAGGTCAATGGATAATCCTCTTCGAAATTTCCGCAGTAATTGCTTTATTGCCAGTGGTGTTCTTTACCATTTGGGGTTCTGCAGACCGTCAACCTTGGGCGATTCCAAAATCCAAAAATCCACTACCAATGTCAGTCTCTGCCACAGTCCCAATTTCGATCATTGTTGATAAAAAGACTGCGGAGCGCAAAAAGACCATAGCGGCTAAACTAAGTGTTGTAAAACCAAAGCAAAGTATACTTGAACAAGTGGATAAAAACGAAGAAAATTAATTTTTCTGAGTCACTTGATTACTGACAGACAGGACGGGGTTTCAACTGGAATTGACTGGGCGCAGAAGAACGAATGTCAAATGTTTGAAAAACCGGCTATTACTGAAAAATTGCTATTTTAATTGAAGAGGTTTAACCATATCATTTCGCTGTTTTTCGTTTTCTGTAAATATTGTATTTATATGTACATTTACAAAACGTGAACTAATTTATTGTGTAACCATGTGATTTCTTTACGTCTACTCAAACAGGTAAAGGAAGAACGTTAGCTTTTTTATCTTGAAATTTTATTTGTCAACATCTTCAGATTTACGGTTCTTTAAAGCTTTAATATGTTGTAAATCGGAACATATCATTGATATTAACGGGTACTGTGAAATACTAATACTTCTTTGAATAAACCAATTATGAACAATATTAACAGACGACACTCGTTGTTCGCCTACATTTGATCGTACACGACTGCCGGCAACTAATCCGAACTAATAATTTTAACTTGTTTCTCAGAAATTAACTTGGGACATTATATGAACAGCAGAAGGAAAAAAAAAAGAAAATGCTGAATTATCGGCCGCTGAATAATTTCAATTATTGTTTAATTATACCTATAAAACGTTATCAGCAAAAATATTTGTTAATATTGTGTCCACCTCGTCGAAATGATTCTTCCTCCTTTTTCAGACGGGCTTTATGAAAGCTGAAAATATTCTTCTTTACACTGTTTGATACCGGCAGAGAATAGTTAGTTGATAAAACATTCTCCAGTTGGAATTGCGTTCAAGAATTTAACAAAAATTAAGTTTAAATGACAAAAAAAAGGTTGTTATTTTTGTCAGGTCTTTTGTCGCAGGTTAGTCATAGTTTTTAAACTAATTCTTCTGTCTACTTTCTTAAATTTCTTTCAAATTTTTTCAACTGCACTTTTGTTTACAGCTACATTGAAAAGTGCTGCACAAACCAGTAATCTCGTGTAACATTTTACATATATGACAGTTCCACATAATCAAGAAGTTCGTTACGCACTGTTTCAAAGCAGTGTCTATAACCGTAATTATCTTAGCGTTCAAAATACAAAGTCAACTTTATTCATCGCCAACTAAGTCTTCTGTGGCACTGACTTTTGTTGAATTTAGCAGTAGTTTTTTTTCCTTCTCTTTTTAAAATTCTTTTGAGTAAATCAAATCCCCCTACCCAACTGTAGCTTATAAACTGTAAGTTACGGCTAACGACGAAAAATACGTCTTCTTTCCAGTAACCTTATAATAAGCCTAAAACTTATAAAGATGAGTAATTCGCTGTTTGATCTGAGTAAAAAGTATATATGCAGAATATATGTATAAAAGACCTTGAGTAAAAATTAAAAAAAAAAAAGATTAACTATAAACTTATGGGCAATAGAAGTTTCTTGAAAAACTTAGTAAGATGAATGCGTTTCCAGCCGGAAATCTGCCAAAACGGAAACATGAATGACACTGAAAACTGACTGCGATCCAAAGCGGTAAAGAAAGTAATAAGCACTCTGGATATGACCAAGAAAATGATAAAATAACAACTTCTGATGTGCCATCCTCTGTTTAGCTACTATAGGTCAGATTAATGTTCTTAGGAAATTTGTCGCACCATTCAATTTTGACCTTCTAAAATATGATCTACAAAAATTCACAGCAAAGAATGTTGATTTAGTTTAACAAATACCTTTGAAATGACAGTTTTGTATCACAGTTAATTCTTTCAGGTCCTGGTGGATCCTTAAATATTTTCGTTTTCCCCTTCTTGTCTCTCCTTTATCCCATAGTTTGGTAGCAGCGGCAGCCTTCTCTGTAGTTGTTTATATCTATTAGACAGATAATATAAGGTCATCAACAAAGACTTACAATACTGCTCAAAAGGTGGAACACACGAATAAGGGTATGTTAAAATTTCCCACTATTAAGTAACATAATATCATCCTCCTATCTTATCAATTTTCGCCACGTAAAAAACAGCCACTACAAATTTCTCATAAATTCAGATCTAACGTTAAGGTTAAGACTGGTATTACAAAAACATGGTAAAATTTTTGCCGCCCTTTACATAATTCCATCAAACCCTTGATCCTGCCAGGTGAAACAATCTGACACTGAGAGGTGCACTTCGGTTTTCTAAAACGATTTTCATTTTGTCAGAGCATATTTTTGCGACAACTACTTTTTAACCATCCCATTTAAAGAACTACATCGTACTTAAGGTGATAAGTACTGCCTTTTAGCACTAGTAGATGACAGAGTTTTTCATTCCATCTTAATTGGCGGAAGTCCACTTAACAACATCTCTTTTTACAGAGCTCAAAAGGAATGCTTAAAAAATTGCAAAATTTTATGAGAAGCATATTTGCTATAAAGAGTTGTAGACTGTAGATTTTGAACATTCAGGCGGGGTCTACTACTATGCAGGATTTGTTGAACATTACAAAGTGGAAACTTCTGTAAACTGTGGGACTTGATGTTCAGTAACTGGCAGTCAAAAAGATAGTATTAATTTAAAAAAAGGAACCTATTAAAAAAATTTGTTTTTGAACATGTAAATTTTGCATTTTCCTTTCATAAAAAGAAATGAAATGAAGACAAAAGAAAGCAGTTAAGAAAACATGTGGTAAAACATTGCATGAGAATTTTCAATAACAATAAGCGTAAACTGTGTTTTCAAGCTTTTTTCTATTCTTTGAAATTTAAAGATGCACGGAAAAAGCTTCGGTTGCTTTGACGGTAACATCTGATGAAATTGGACGGTTGAAGAGACGTAAAAACATTACTTTTGGAACAGGAATCATGCAGCAGGAAACTAATGACGGTCATCCGTCACGTTTTGTCTGTTGCTGACGCAGATAGTTTCTCACCGGGAACAAGCAGCTGACAAAGTTCATCAAACCGCCATTCCCTAATTAAATATTGCGCTTTAACTTTCACTGAACTCGGTTATCGATTCTTAAAATAACAAATCCGTACAATTTTCTTAGTTCCTGAAGCCGTCTTCTACAGGCCCAGAACGTTTTTGTACAGTTCGATAGATTGCTGACCGTCCTTTATCCTCAATAGATTGACAACAACTCACCAGAAAAGTAAAATTGAACGTTTCAGGTTAGCGATGCAATCTACAAAAATCAGGCAAAAGTGCATTCAAAAGTAGGAAAAAATAGTATAGTATTTGAGGAGAGTAAGCTTACGTGCGTAATGCGCTGCTTCGTTTCTTTTTCTATTTCTGCTCGTATAGGTTGTGTTTGAAGGCAGCAGTAGGTTCACTCGTATTGGTTCGTTGCCTCCGGAACATTGAGTAGTGAAACTAATGGATCCCACCTAGTGTTAAGTTTAGTTTCACTTGTGAATACTCAGCTGTGAGGTTCGACAGTTAAAATCTATGATATTGTTGGTCTTATAAGTGCCATTTTTCAGTGTCTGTAATTTTTAAGCTATGACTTATAAGTTTTTGGTCTGAAATTAGAGGAGTTGGCGAATATATGTTTTGTTTTTTATGTCATTGTCGAGTTTTCGCCGTTCACTTGAACTTTTTTTTTCTTGGATTTTTATTTATTCTGAGTTGCTGCTGTACATACGTTCAATGTGTCATCGATTATTAAGGGTTAAGGACCTTTTGAAGGTAACAGGCACCTGATAAATTTTAGGGTATGTTGAGCGCAGCACGTGGAGCGGTATCTCGTACAGTAGCACGCCGAGCTCTTTCAGTTTCAGCAGCTCGTCGGGATGCTGTATCTTCGAGCCTAGCTGACTATAAAGTTGTGGATCACACTTATGATGCAGTAGTTGTTGGAGCAGGTAAGTTTTTGTAGCACCTATCCAGACTAGAAATAGTTTTTGCCTTGTTTATATTATTTTATTCCTTCTGAGATTAATTTCGTTTTAAAAGTAATTGTACATTTCGGAAAAAAACTGGTGAGAGCGGTCCGGGAATAAGGTAGTGAAATCATTTTAAAATGTTGGTTGACATTCGTGCCGATTTAGTTTTCGTGACTTGACTCTTGCTCATATCTTTAAAACTTACAATTGTATTTTAACTACTTGAAAAAGTTTTAAACAAACCGATACTGGTTTTTGTTAAATAGAGTGATAGAAGTTCCAGTTACCCCGGTTTACCATGCCTGTTATTGTTTCCGACGGAATTGTTGAATGAGGCACGTTTTAGCGAAGGCTTTTACAGGCGGCGCTGGTTTGAGAGCTGCAATGGGTTTAAGCGAAGGTGGAATGAAGACGGCTGTGGTAACAAAATTGTTCCCAACTAGGTCACATACTGTCGCTGCCCAAGGTGGTGTCAATGCAGCTTTAGGCAACATGAACCCTGATGATTGGAGGTGGCATTTCTACGATACTGTCAAAGGTATATTTATTTCTTAGTGGCATCAATTTGGTTTATTTGGGGATTAATTTTTCTATTTTTTCAAGGCGACTTCTTATAGTTATTAGGCAGTGTCAATTTTGCTAATTTATTGAACGTTAAACGTTTTTTTAACAGGTAGTGATTGGTTGGGAGATCAAGATGCAATTCACTATATGACTAGAGAAGCCGTGAAGGCAGTTATTGAACTGGAAAATTATGGAATGCCGTTTTCGCGAACCAAGGATGGGAAGATTTACCAGAGAGCTTTTGGAGGACAAAGTAATGATTTTGGAAGGGGCGGTCAGGCACACAGGTGAGTGTTTTCCAGCTTCGTGAGAAATTTTTGTAAAAAGTTATTTTAGTTTGATTGCTCATGTACGCATTTTTTCGCTTTCTTCAAACCCAAGTTGTTGAAGGACCTGTTGTGTTGCTGACCGTACCGGGCATTCAATGTTGCATACCCTCTATGGTTCATCTTTACAATATAACTGCAAATATTTTATTGAATATTTTGCTCTTGATCTTTTAATGCATAACGGAGCATGCGTTGGTGTTATTGCTATGGATTTGGAAGATGGAACTATTCATCGTTTCCGGTGATTTATTTTATCATTTGCATCTAGCTGTTGGATTAACGTAAAGGACCTTACGAGTTATCTTTTAGCACATAAGTGTATTCAAAAAGATTTGTACGTTCAGCTGTGCATGTATTAAAAAATAAATATTTTCTTTTATTTTTTTCAGGGTAAAAAAATGAATATTTTCCCTTATTTTTTTCAGGGCAAAGAACACAGTGTTGGCGACTGGTGGTTACGGACGAGCGTTCTTCAGCTGCACATCAGCACATACGTGTACTGGCGACGGTACTGCTATGGTTACACGGGCAGGGCTATGCAATTCTGATATGGAATTTGTACAGTTCCACCCAACTGGCATTTATGGGGCTGGATGTTTGATAACTGAAGGTTCAAGAGGTGAGTCGTATCTTAGATCCTTTTTGTGTTTTTGCTTTTCTTTTCTGAATGTGATTTTTCGAATTTCCTCGAAGCAATTTCTTTATCTGTTATGGTAATACTCTTTCGATTCTTCCTCCTTGACTGGGATTTCATAGTTGTATGTCAGGTGAGGGTGGGTACCTCGTGAATAGCAAAGGGGAAAGATTTATGGAAAAATATGCTCCAAATGCAAAGGATCTCGCGTCACGTGATGTTGTTTCGCGTGCAATGACAGTTGAAATTATGGAAGGTCGAGGCGTTGGAAAGGAGAAAGATCATATCTATCTACAGCTTCATCATCTCCCTGCGGAACAGCTTATGACTAGGCTTCCAGGTACTTTTCGCTTACCGCTTTTGTTGCTCTTTTTCGTTCTCTAGACCTTCTTTTTATGTAGATAAGTCCAATTCCGTTCAGGTATTTCTGAAACAGCTGAGATCTTCGCTGGTGTTGATGTCACGAAAGAGCCAATTCCTGTAATTCCAACAGTACATTACAATATGGGTGGTACTCCAACTAACTATATGGGCCAAGTGATCAAGTATACTAAAGGAAAAGGCGACCAGGTTTGGATTGAACCTTATCAGAAGTAGATATTGAGTGGCTGGAGACGAAGCAGAGCGGAATCGACTTTTTAAGATAAAGATAAATTTTTTTATTCATGCTTGCGATTGAATATTTTGACGCTGCAGATTGTTCCTGGTTTGTATGCTGCCGGTGAGTGCGCTGCTCACTCCGTACATGGGGCAAATAGGCTGGGTGCAAATTCATTGCTTGACCTTGTCATTTTTGGCCGAGCATGTTCTGTCAGGTATTCTTTATTGTGCTCCGTCACAAAAAATATTCTTACATGCGTTATTTTCTTTTGCTTTTTTAGCATCTTGAAGAATAACAAGCCTGGTGACAGTATCCCTGAACTGCCAAAGAATGCAGGAGAAGCATCAATTGCTAATCTGGACAAGATGAGGCACGCAAAAGGCGATATATCAACTGCAGATTTAAGGTTGAAGATGCAGAAGACAATGCAGAAACATGCAGCTGTATTCCGTCGTGGAGACATCTTACAGGCATCTTTTTCTCTTCTAACAGCTAAATAAAAAGAATTTTGGTCACATTATTTTATTTAGGAAGGTGTCAAAAAGATGGAGGATCTTTTCAAAGAACAAAAACACTTGAAGACAACTGATCGTGGACTTGTTTGGAATTCTGACTTAATAGAAACCCTCGAACTGCAGAACTTGATGCTAAATGCTACGCAGACTATTGTTGCTGCTGAGAACCGTAAAGAGTCTCGTGGTGCTCATGCTCGTGATGATTTCCCTGTTAGTTGCAAGTTCTGTGATAACATTTTTCGAAGGGTCTGCAAAGTTTTAGGTGCAGAATAACTTTTGATAACGTTTATTGAAATTTTCTTGTTTCAGAACAGGATTGACGAGTATGATTACTCGAAACCGTTGGAAGGCCAAGTTAAAAAACCGATAGAGCAGCACTGGCGTAAACACACAATTCTTTATCAGGAACCAGAGAGTGGAAAGGTTGTGCTGAACTCAATCTTCCAATTTTCCATCATTTTTTACGACAACCGCCTTATATTTATCGTTAGTGTTTTGGAACTAAAATGAAAGTTTTTATCCAAAATTCACCATCTTTTTCAGATTACGATTGACTATAGACCTGTCATTGACAAAACATTAGATAAGAAGGAAACTGATTGGGTGCCACCGAAAGTCCGCTCGTATTAAACGTAGTTAATGGACTCGAACTATTCTGTTCGACTTTTCTGTTGCATCTTAATAACTGTCAAATTAGTTTGTTGTTTATGTCTTAGCTGTACAGGCAGTTTTTAATTTCTAATTGCACTACAATTTGTTTGTACTTTTAATTTAAGTTAGATATACGGGAGCGGATTTACTTGTTTGCTTTCTCCATCAGTTTGGAGTTGGGCCTGTGTTGTTTCATTTGTTTTCTATCCTGTGTGAAGTAAGGAGCTTCATTTTTTTTTTAGGTGCAGAAATTTTTGCTCTAGCCACTAGAGGTACGGGGTTCTCCCGCTAAAGGATGAGCTTTTATCCTTCATTTAATGTCGTGTGATACTTCATGTTTCCCTCTCTTGCATTTAGGAAATTAGATTCAATGGTTTTTATTAGTCATGATATTTGAGTGTATGAGAGAATCGTTCTCACCATTTCATTAGTGTATCGTTTTTTGTAACTTAATGGAATAAACCCTTTTGAAAGTTGTTTTGTTTCAGCCAGCTAGGACCTACTTTGAGTGTCAGTAATCAGAAAAATTCTTTTAAATTGTGTTATGATTGCGGAGTGCTCTTTTTGAAAGACCTGTGCTTTTCTATAGCGGTAATGCGTAAACTTCGGGGAAGGGGGAGGCTAGTTGGATATGTTGAGCACTTCTTTGCGTGCTTTGACGAGGCGGGAATCGTTCAAACTTCGATGGAATGCCACAACAGCAGGTTCTCTGTCGGCTCTCCCACTATGGTGGGGCGCATTTGGTTGGCTGCTTTTGTGGCAGGCCTCTGAACGTAGCTTGTTGACGTCGGGCTTGTGCTTTTACAGTCGAGAGATTCTAGTCTTGACTCCCTTTGCAGTGAAGGTCCGTTACGTTCATCTTCTTTTGCATCTTTTGCAGGTTTGGGAAGGCAGGTAGTTTAAACGAGGTTTGGATGGTCGCTCTCAAGCGATTAGATTACCTTGAAAGAGGCTCTGCAAGATTCTTTGGACGGAAGACGCAAATAGATCGAGGCAAATTTTTTTAGTCGAGTGTTTTTAAAGCTTCAGGTTATTTGTCGCTTTTGCTCTACCGTCACATTTTGGTAAAGAAAAGTGCGCATCTTTTTTTGGAATTGCTTGAGAAGAGGTGGGGAACTTTAGGTTTTAATGCTGAGCTGAATCGTACTGTTACTTGAAAAATTAATCCAGTTAGACTTGGGGAAACTCAGACAATTTTTTTTGCTTCTTCAGACTGCCTTACGTTTCCATAAATCCGTTTGATGCGAAATCTTACCTTTTATATTGACATGCATGAGTCGTCTCAATATCAAGCTCTTAGTACCAGAAATTTCTTCAATTCTCCCTAAGCCATCAACGAAGAATCTCTCTCCGACCTGTTTTCAAATTTCTGCCACTTCTTTATTTAAAAAAAAAAAAAAAAAAACCAGCTACTGTTTTGCTGAAGTAACGGTTCTGTAATAAGCATGTTAGAGAAATTTTACGGACAACAGACGTAATGAACAATTAGAGTAGTTTGAATGAGTCGTCACACCCTCCCCTCTCTCCCTTCCCTCCCTAGAAAAACACAAAATTAAATTAAAAGTGATGACGGCAACTAAAGCTGAGGACGCTATTTCCACCGGCTGCACGGCAAATGTGCTGCAATCTCAATATTAGTACATGTGCCTCAATAATGAGTTCATTTATCTGACAATTTTTTCTTTTAGAAAAAGGGAAAGTAGGGGATTTTAAAAAAGCGATTTCCGGACAAAACTGGACTTTGCAGCTTTCAAAATAAGTTCTCTGGTAGCAAGAAATTGCTTTGAATAATCAGTTTGGTTAACGCCTCAGAATTAAAAGAATACAAACTCAGCACTAGTGAGGAAACTTTAGTCCACTGCAACAAGAAAACTGCGTTTCAATACTGCATTTTGGTGATGGCGCTGTTAATTAGGAAGAAGTACAGCAAGAACGGTCAGGACTGTTTTTGATTTTCAGAACGACAAGCCTAAGAATTGCTCCCCATAGAGAGCTATCTTAGGTCAAGGTGCTACAGGGCTGCAAAAGCACAAATTACACTGGAACACCGTCAGAACAACTTGCTCGGGCACTTGATGTTGATGGTAAAGCTTAACTCGTTGACATGAAGCACACCTATATTACCTTAGATCTTTAAGTGTTAACTAGATTCAGCCTTAACTGCCGGTTTTTGTCCGGAATAATTGTGAGACCAAAGCTTCTGAATAGCAGTTACTTTAGAAGTCGAATACAGAATAGTGTGATTGTCGAATCAGAGCCACAAAGTATGAGATCATTTTAAACGTTCTTTCTACTAGTGGAAAAGAGGCTTTTGTCGTCTTCCGTTTCTTCATATGCTTGTACTAGGCAAACAGTCTCAACGTTGTCTATGACTAGGATTTTTTCACTACCAGCACAACTCAGATGTATACATTTATAATCGTAATGCGACGCTGTTGCATACATCATTTTGTGGCGTTTTATATTTTCATTTGTGAGATTACGCAGCTGTTGAGGGAAAGCCGCATAGGTAACAAAATTGGAAATTGAAGCAAACTACATTTTTTCAACTGGAAATCCAACTGCAAGAATGTGGTTTGCTTCAATATTTAATTCTTAATTGTAAAAAGATTTAGAAAAAAAACTGGAGGACAAAAACAGAAATTAACGGCATTTCAACAGCAGTAATTTTACGGATGAAAAAAAAAGTCGCAAATTGAAGAAGTTCAGGAAAACAATGTGAAGGAGATCTAAAAGGAACTGATGATTAATGACGCTGAGAAAAATGAATAATTTACATATGTACGGCTTCGTTGTTATCTTGGCGATTCGTGTAAACAAGATATAAATGCCAAGACAAGATTTTGCATTGAACAGTATCGTCCAAATAGAAAACAAATTCTAATAATGTGAAAGAGAAAATCATTCAAACTGCCCTCTGCGCCTCACTAAATGATTTTTTCTACCAAAAATGCATGCCGGGACCTGAACCTCCTCGCCATTTCATTAGGCGCTTTCAAAACAGAATGTGAATTTGTCTGTTTCAAATGCAACCATAAAGCGAAAACGGAAAGTAATTTGAGGGAAGATGACGGCTTAACTGATTTGAAGTTAACACATTTACCGCAAATACATAACGACCACTCTGTTTTTTCCATACGTTCTCACTGCAACTGTCATTACAAAGAATTCTGAAGAGGACTGATTCCCAAGCAAAACCAGACTGTATGGTTGTGAATTTTGTAGTGGTCAGGAAGTGTTCCTTAACGCTATATAAATTCATAAACCAACGAAAGATGACGAGTTTTACGGAATTTCGCTGCACAAAGAGTTGAAACTCAAAGCCTCTAGGTTATAGGAGGACAAAACTAGCGCTAGCAAGCTAAGTTGAAGAGTCTAGTACAGCATTAGCTAGATGAATGTTTACTACCACAAGAAGGATCTGCCTACACTCTGCTGCCTTAGCAGTATATCAATGGGATTTTGATCGAATTTTACAATGCGAAAACTATGTCCAAAACACGTAATCACTTCCACAAGCTAATATAAAGCAGAAGCAGAAAAGGGGGGCTAACAGAAGAGCTGCTTTGCATAGTTGGTGACGGCATAGCAATTATCTGACTTTTATCTTTGGAAGCAGTCCAAAGCTGACTGAAAAGCTAAAAAACCGGGAGGATTTATTTTAATCAAATACAGAGAGTAACACGTTAAAAAGATAAAGAAAAGAGAAAACTTATCTCAGATACTACATTAGGATTTATTAAAATCATTGCACTTGATGTAAGGAAATAGAACATGAATTATCACGTAACGCAACTTTAAGCAAAAGAAAAAACTCACTGCTCATTGGAACATTTGCTACGCGGCCCGAGCACCCATTTTATCGTTGAGTAACTGTCTACTGTTTTGCATTGGACTGTCACTTTGGCAACATGTATGCAACGTGCTGTCGACCCTCTTTGCCGGTACTTTTGGACATTGATGTACATTTTTGCTGACTAAAACTTGTAGTTTTCTGTTGCCTTATTTATCTGTCTAAATTCAAAATTTTGTATTTTTTGGAAAGCAGAAGATTCTAAACCCGCCTCTCAAGCTGTATTACGACTAATCTATTAAAAAAAGAACAGATTTTATTTTTTATTTTTTTTGAATCACTACTTTCGTGCTATCGCCTCACAGAAGTGTGGGATTTTTGAAAACCGATTACGCCTGAGAATAGAATGGATCAAGGGTATGCTGGATGTTACCATGCTCTCCCCTTCAAGTTAAAAGCCACTTTCTGTAACTTCTGGCTGTGTTGTATGTTAGTAAAGTATCAATCTTGTAACTTTCAGGAGGATCCTTAGAATGCATTTTATGCTTCTCGTGGTTAGGTCATCCTGTAGTTAATTGTAGTGGATGATCCCACAGCCTCTAATTTCCGCTTGGACTGGTTGAGAGGGGACAGAGAATATTGTAGTAGAAACAATCCATTTATAGGTCGAAGATCAAAGGACTTATTTCAACTGGTAATAGAACGTACGGTTTCAAAACAAGTTCACCACATATTGTAGATTAGTTTATGCATTTTGCAAGTGTCGAACATCTGGGCATAAAGGAGTCTGCTACGTCATGATGTGAAGAAATCGAATTTTGTAGTGTTTGAACGAACCGCAAGTCGATCTGAAAAGCGGTTCTGCTGCTTTTTGTATCTTTGCAAGTAGAAATCATTCTACAGCATCCTGCAGCAAACTATTTTCTTTTTTTTTTGTTGATCAACTTGAATAACTGAAGCATTTTCGACTTTAAGTATGCATCAGGAAAGTGATCTTCTAAGTAGTAACTTTGGGAATATGTTAGCAATCAGATTTCGTTCTTTTATCCTAACACTTTTATTAAATAACTGACAAAAAACTACAAAGTCATTAAATACTGATGAAAATAACCACTTTGTTCCCAAAAACTACTAAAGTTCCAGTTTTTTTTTTGCTTTTGTAGTATATAGTGTATTTGAAATGGTAATACATTAATTACACTTGGTTCTTGGCAAACACACTGATAATTCCACAACTGCTGCTTTCTCGTTTTGAAGGCTGCTATAAGGAATTATGTACAACAATTAATAAAAAATAAATGTTCCAAAAATGCAGCAAAACGAGTATGTGCAGTGCTCCATATCTAGTTCCTGAAAAAAGCGTGTTGTATTGCATCGTATAACGATACCAGTGTTATATCTTTGCAAGACTTTCCATATAAAGATAAAGCGGATATCAATTCGAAAATATATGTATGAGCTACTCAGCTGTAAAATAAAACTGAATGTCTGAATTATCAACTGAAACAGGTACTGAAAGTGTAATCAAAATTTTCAATTTTTGCAGTGAATACTTTTCTGGAGACTGAAGACAGACTAACGACAGATAGAAACCACCAATTTTGTCGTCTAGTATAAGCAGTGTTTTGTCATGGAGCTTTTATGTTATTCATCACGGTTTTTATAGCTAAAAAAACTTTTTTAAAGTGTATTTTAGTCTTTCGTTGTTGCACAGATATTGTACAACAAAATTGAGCGTGAAAAACGATCAGTTGCCATCAACTGTTTAATTCTTCAAAACACGCAGAAACGCTGTTTGTAAATGCATAGACTGTGATGGGGGCAAGCAAAAGTTTTGTAGAACAAAAAAAAAGAAAAAAAAAAGAAAAGAAAAGAGAAGATGTAGATGAGGGGAGATTTTTTGTGGAATAGGAGCATTGAAGTAGGACAACGTCCCCGTTTTTAAAAGTTGTGCTTGATACAGTCGTCATAGAGTTTTGCAAGGAAATAGTCGGTCATCTATCTTATAATTTTTTTTTTGTTGACCTTTTTTTTGTCGTAAGTTGCCGATTTTACTTTCTTCTATTGACTGGTAGCTTCAGCCATCCAAAAAAAAAATGTATGAATGATGTGTAGTCTCCTTCTATTCTACGATAAATTTCTGATGGTCAATGAATTTATGCAATTTTATTTTGGGGGAGAGGAGGAGAGGGGGAGAAGGGTTGAAGTTATTTAGTTGCACCGTTTCAATTTGACTTTAGCAGGCGAAAAAGGAGAAAGACTGACAGACTGACAGAATATGTTGACGTCTTAAAGTTTATTATTTACAGTGTATTACAAAATAGACTGCATCAGTTTGTTCAGAGAAAAAATTGAACCGATCAAAGGCTATGTATAAGTTTCTCTAAATTTATTTCCAAGAATTACCTGTAATTTGTTGACAACAGTTTTTATGTTGCAAGGAAAAGTTGAGCCGATCAAAAGCTATGTATAATTTTTTCTAAATTCATTTGCGAAAATTACTTCTACCTGTTGCCAGTTTTATGGACGTCAGAACAGATGCGGGGGAAAAAAATAGTGAGACTAAAAAAATCTGTTTATTTTTTGTATCATGTTGATCTTTTGTGTTCATAACGAGTATTTCACTGTGGTTGAGCTGTAGCGATCGTTTAGAGGCTTTTTTTGGAAATACAGAAATGATTAAAGTTCCTAGTAAAAAAAAAGATCATTTGTTTTTATGAAACTTCAAAATACAGCAGAATATTTTAACTCCTTTTCTGAATCAAAAATCATTTTGAAGAGCCCTTTTCTTTCCTGAAATTACATTTATTCGTAGACATTCTGTTTGGTTGAATTAACAAATTTACGGCGGCCTAATTATATTAGTATTGTAACGAAAGTTATAAGTCTGCTGACTACAGCAACAGTTTCTTCTTCTTCTTTTTTTTTCTTGATAATTCTTAGCAAAGTAATTTCGCAAGTAGTTTTAAACTGCAATTTACAGAATGCAATGAAATGAAAAGAAATGGAGGAGGGAAAGGGAAAAAAAGCAGTTTTGACTGCATTCAAATAGTTGGTGTGTACAACAACAAAAAGGTTTTTTCTCTTGTTACCTGAATCGCTGTCTTTTTCTTTTTCTGAAACCAGAACCTAAAAAGTTTATTCATTTTGTATTACGTTGGTTTTTTATATCACATCTATAACAAAATAACACTGATTAAGTGGCAATAATTATTTGAAGGTTTTTCCGCACAGCAAAGAAGTAATTTAAGTAATGTTTGGTGAAAGCAGAAGCGAAAAAAAACTGCATTGTTCTTTGTTCATACGAATACTGGTAAAATAAAGTAGACGACAGTATAGATGACGTAAAAGAACTTAGAAAAGACCAATTTCTTTTCCTTTTTCCTTTTTCTTGGAGTATTTTATTCAGAATCTTTTACTGTTATGAGCTGATAATATGCGCAGGAATTGAGCGCTCTTACTCAACAGTTGCGGTATATGATAAGTTTCGTGTATCATTTTGGTGTGTGCAATAAAGTGTACAGTTGATGGAATTTTCTTTTCAAATTATGGTTGGTTTAATAACCTTTTTCTTTTTTTGAAATTTATGATCATTCTCTATAAACAAAATGGCTGAAAAAATTTTTTCAAGAAATCATTGATCATTAATGGGAATCTCCAAAATCGTCATCGAAAACTAGCCGTAAAAGATTTGGTTTGTCGCATGCTTCAAACTCGTTTTTCTTTCCTGAATCGGCATTTTTGTCTCAGAATCTTATTTTACCCTCGTTGATTTTTGCTGTCTGTGTTTAGTTCAATTTGCACAACGAAATTTGCTTTAAATGCGACAACAAACATCAATCTTCGTTCTGCTCTTAAAAAGATGAAGACTAATGTCAGGCGACAGGAATAATTCCAGTGTGGTTCAATCAGATTTTATAAAAAATTTAGTATGAAAGCACTTACAAAAGAAGTGTTTTGATAAGTTTCAACGTGATCAGCAATGTATCAGTTAAAAAGAAACTTGACAGGCCGTCTGTCTGGTAAATGCAAAACTTGATAAAACGCACAGCGATAAGTTTCCATTTGTCATTTTTGTTTTAAAAACAGGATCTAAACGAGAACGAGCTCAAGATAATACCAAACCCTAGCATTTTTAGGGGTTGGCAAAGGTAAACCAACAAAATATGATAATAAAGCAAATAATGGGCTTTATACAGCAGTTTAGCTGCGTAATTTCTCAAACAAACTGCCTTGTTTTTTATTTTATTCTCAACTACCCCACCCCTTATGCTCAAAATTCAGCAGTTTTTCAGTCCTCTCCTACCTAAAAAATTTGACTATACTTAATTCAGAAATTTACGTTTTGCAAAGAACTCAGTACCCTAAACAGAAAAAAGTTATCAAGTACTTTATTGCACATAGTTTACAACAGAGATACTGGAGAGAATACGGGAAGTTTGCATTTGATACAAATTTGCATTTGAAACAAATCAGTCACAAGAGAATACTGTTTATAAACAGTAGTGTGTAATTATTATGTACAGTAGCGAGTAGCTCCTATGTCTGTTGAACCAAAACTGATAAGTTAGAAAATAAATTTTTTGTGAAATCAAATTTACAACAACAGTATTGATTTTTCAACAAAATTTAACAGTTTAGCACTTTACTTAAACTGTATTTTAAAGCTATTATACTCTTTGTAGCATATCTGTTTCAATGAAACCTATTCATAGACAAACAGTCCAAAATGACTTGACTGTAACTGCACTTTTAGTTAGGCATACGTCATGCCTATAGTCAGATTTGAGTATTTCATTGTTAGCCGCTTAACTGTCTTCACAGATGGCTTAACAAGTGGCAGTCTGCTTTTTAAGATCTGATTCTCCCATTGTTGTCGATACCATTGGCAGGTCCCTAGAAAGACATTTTATCAATGGTCCTAGCGAGTCGTTGCCGAACTTCTCGTTTAGCCCATTTCTACGCCACGCTCCTTCCTTCTGCGTCTTGAAGATGTTCGACTTCAAAGACCGATGTTGGAATAACGACGCAATTGTTGGAGCATTCAGTATTTTCCTTTTTCTAGATTTGGAATTATAAACAATTCAGGGTGCCATTTAAATTCTCCGGAGGGTATTGTGTACAACTCGTCGCGAAGTTCAAGATATTTAATTGTTTTTTCTGTTAAATACCACTGAACGAAAGCAGATGACATGAGGACGAATGACACCGTTATTACAAGTATAACAGTCTCTGAGGCCAAAGGAACTGTTTCTGCAAAAGCAGGTTTCAAGACTTGACTTACGAAAAAATCGTTACAAGTTTCTATCAATTAATTTACTGTAAAATCAAAAAACTGCTTGAGTTTAATATGCCAATATCATTCCGTAAAACTGTCGTCAAAGAAAGCAAAAACCGTATTGGTAGCTTATCTTATATTTGAAAATAAATGTTTACCTAAGAAGTCGAAATCGCCTTCATAAACACCGATAGCCACAGTAAGAATTAAAGCAACCGTAATCACAAGTTTAAATGCCTAAAATCAGTAATGTCTCAGACTTCTTTTTAAAATATTTTTTTAAAAACAGAAAGGCTGCTATCACAGAAAGCGCCAAACGAAATAGCAATGACAATAAAATCCTGCAGGTTGCAAATCTAACCTTTTAACTGTAAAATAACATAGAGAACAGAAAAAAAGTATAATAGATTTGCAAATTAATGCTTGCAGTAACTCACCACCCATAACTTGGTGTATTTCAAGCGAGTATGCTCCTCTTGCTGAAGTCCGCTGATTATAATACATAGCACGGTAAAAGTACCAATTGATGAAATCACAAGGAAGTAGGCAAATACAGTATCCCAAACGCAGTAAAGTGCTATTAAATCCAAAACTAATCGTAAAAGAGCAACCAGTCGAAGACCCAACTATAAAAGAAAAACGTAATAACCTGTGTATTGTTTTTCAAAAGTAATCGTTATTACAGCTACACAACAACGATTCCTATGCAGTTTCTTAGCGTATGCTTCTTCATACCCTACAGCTCCCTACACTTCACCGGCTACACAAAAAGATGCTATTTTTTAAACTGCTTTTTTTAAATACCGAAATTCTGTTACTTAAAAACATTCAGACTTCAGCCAACAGCAAAACAACACAAAAACAGTTGACAAACAAAATATGATTAAGTGTTAGGCAAAGAGAATAAACTTGTTAAAACTTGGTGATTCATTTATCGTTAAATAAAAGTACTCAACAGAACACCAACAAATTTTTTTTTGTTTTTGCGGTTTGTTTCAAAAAAAAATTTTTATTGTTTAGTATTTTTCATTTTGAGTGCAGTGTTTTATGCATTTTTGTCACAAAAATGTAGAGAAATGATAGTCACCTGTAGAAACAGTTAATGCAAAATATTTCTTCTTTTGAGAATTAGTCTTTTTTCAAACAGTTTTTTAAAGATTTTAGACATTTAAACAAAAATGTTAATAAGCAGTATTGTCGTGAATATGTGCAAATTCAATAAAACCAGTCAGTTTAAAGGTCAAAAAAGAAGTTAAAAATAAAAAACTTTGAAAAAAAATTGCAAAAATTATTTTGAACTTACAGTTATTCTCATAAATCCGCAGCAACATGTTGGTTCGCTTGATAATTCGTCGTCGTCATCGTATGAAGCTGTCTCCGACGATATACTTATGGCATAAATCGGCTTCTCTGACGACGAGCTTTTTTGCTTCATCTTGTACACCGTTTTGCTTTATTATGTTTTCTATTTGACAATGTTGTTTTGTTCTCTAAAAACAATCAAGCGACAATGAATTACATGTTAAAGTCAAATTTTGAGTATTATTTGACGATAGATAGCATAAAATCAAGACTCAACACCAAAAACAGATAATAACGGTATTATTCAATTGGTCAACCTGTGAAGTCTTTTGATTTTTGTCTTCTACTTTAACCAAATCATAAGTCATTTATAGTTAAAAACTATTCTGGAAGCCGTAGCTGCCGAAAAAACAACAAAAGACTGCAAACGTGGAAACAACTCTAACATTTCATCATTCCAAAAATCTGCAGAACCTGAGAAAAAATAATGATAAGGGCAGTTTTTCTATTCTTCAATTTTTCTTCCAGAAGCTGGTAAGTAAAGACTTCCTATAAACCTTTAGTTTGCGAAAGAAAAGTTTGAAAAACAAGATGTACACAATAAGATTTTATAGTAAAAATTCTCAAATTTTTTTTACCAGATCGAAAAATTTGAATTGACTCTAAGCAGCAACCAAAAATCTGCTGTTTTTAAAACTCTTGTTTTCTATCAAACTGCGGTGATGTTCAGCATTGCCGCACATCGAAAGGCAAGTGATTACCCCAATAATGCTCCAATTTTTAAAGTTGTACTATTAGTACTTAGTTTCACGAACAAGTCATAAACTCTAATCGTCAAAGTGAGACGGCTTACTCACAGATTTTTTGACAGTAATTCACCTCTGTTTTTAAAGCTCATAAACTGTATTCGTACAGGTTGGGTATTTCACAAGGTACTTCCAAAATACTTCATTAATTTCTTGACTGTTTGCAATAACAATTCTCTTTTTTTTCTTGCGACTAAAAAAGTGCTAGAAAAATAATCTTTTTTACTCTAAATAAAAAGAATTTTAAAAATTATTTTAAGATAGAAAAAGGGGAAGAAGGATAATGGCACAACGAAAAAAGAGCAGACAATGGAATTTTTATCAATGCGTTACATGTTATCACTTTCCAAATACATTTCTGCGTTCTTGTAGCAGTTATCATTAGCAGATTAGATTTTTATAGACCAATCTAAGATGTTGGTATAGTATTTATATTGACAAATCTGTTACTAGTAATTAGAAAAAATTGAACAGTTTTATATTTGTTCAGTTGCTTGAAATTCAATTTTAAGACAACTTGGAGACAATTAGTAGCTGACAATAACAGCTCAGCTAAAACCAATAAATACAGATAGATTAGGTGTTTTTTAATCACCTTTGCTATAAGTGTAAAAATCAGTTTACTTCTTTAGTGTTTTAGTAAGTCTAATTTGAAGATATTTTAATAAGCAGTGAAATAGTTCCATTAGTCGACCAGTGTTTTGGTTGCATGATTTGATGTTCAGTAAAAAACTTTGTAGTGTACCTGTTGTTTAAATAAAACTATTGTAGTAGTTCTTCTTAAACAGTATACTGGGACAGGTATGATGTATCTGACACAGTATTACAGTCGACATCTAGAAGACGACGATGAAACAAGTTTGAAATGAAATACCAAACCAAGAGAGGGGGAAGACCCCGTGTTTGTTTGACCGGTCAAAAATGCTCGTGTTATTCAAGGAACGAGAAATTGGCAAATACTGTACTGTTTAAACAATTTATAGTCTGGTATCAGATCAATTACACTGGCATGCTGAAAAGAAATGATCAAAATTTATCACCAAAGCTTTCGAATTATGTCGCAGGAAAGGACTGGGGAAAAGAATGTGGTGGAACTGATTAAAACAGTTTTTTTTTTTTGTATGACGACTGTTTGAAGTTTGCACTGCAGTCTTTCCCGTACATTTGTTGTTTATTTCTTCGCAACTTACATTTATTATCAAAAATGTATTAAAGTTATGATCGAAAAACTGTAGACAACAATTAATGAGTGTACTTCTAATTATAAAATTTACACACAAAAAGAAGTTTTTTGTGCTAATTTTTAAAGAAAAAAGATGTCTTTTTCTTTAATTCTTTTATTTATTTATTTATTTTTGTTCAGACTTGTTTATCATTAAATAGACGTGAAAAAGCTTTAATGTACTAATAAAAAACATGTTGTTTTTATTCAATGTTTGGTAAATTGCAAAAGTAAAAAAAAATTTTTCTTTCAGGAAGTCGTAAACAGGAATTTACTGAACACTTTAGTGTTACGTAACTGTAAAAAAAAAAATTTGGGCTTTTCAATAACAAAAATGATAAGTTTTTCAAAGACAAAAAGAAACTTTGTTTTCATGAAAAAGAAATCAAGTCAAATTACACAGTCCAGAAACCAATAACTGTAAAACTGTGGTACCGATAATACAGAAAATTTAAAAAAACAAATAAAAAACCAATTTTTTAAGTGTCTCAGTTTACCAATTCACATCAATCTAAAAAATTCCGGTTTTAAACTTTCAAAGTTGCAAAATTAGCGTTAAGATTTAGTTTAGAGATTTTAAAATTTAGTCTTAATAACGCTTTTGAAATCTATCTTCTAAAGTTGTAATCGGATGTCTATAGCAGCAGAAAATTGAAGTGACAGCATCTCAATATTTGCTCAATTATTATGCAAAAAATTCTGTAGCTTTGTTCAACAATTTGCCTAACTTATCCTCAAAACTGTACGTCGCCAATAACAGTATAGCGCTGTTACCACAAAAGTTTTTGATTCTGTTCCCGTTTATACCAAAAAAAAAATTTTTTTTCATTTATTGCCAATGAAGTAAAAATTAAGAAGCAAAAAAAAAAAAGGTTTTTTTTTTTTGACTTTAACTGTTTAATTGAACTATCTAACCTTAACAGAATTTGATTTCTCAACAAAAACATAAAAATGTTCAAAAGAAAAAACAGTATTCTGTAAAATTGGTAAAATTTTTTAATGTAGTATTAAGTAATTGCAGTTGACATAACCAAAAAGAAAAAACAGTCTTCAAGTAAAATTACCAATTGCAATAGTCAAAGGAAACCGTATGATAATCATAATTAACTGTTTCTGTGTTTCTTCTCATTCTTTCTTTTGACAACTACATTTTAAGACAGTAAAATAGTTATTTTAAAGAAGCTATAGTATTTGAAATTGCTAAGGAAAATTTTCAAAAGCTAAGTAACAGAAGAATAATTAAAAGCACAATAATAAATTATGACTATAAGTAGTTTTATTTTTTTTCGCCTCTTTATAGTCAATTAAAATTCTTATAGCAATCAAATAAAATGCAGTAAAAAAAGTTTATAATCGAAATGTGAGAAAAAATACCGAATTGTTTCAGTTTTCTATCTGCACCAATAATCTGTTATCATTTAAAATTCCTTCCTATAACATTTTTTTTCTTTAATCTGTAAGTCAAAAAAGCTGTGTATATCCTAAAAGCAAAATGAAAAAAGAATACTGTGCTTAAGAATACTGTTTTTTTTTTCAGCCGTTCTGCGCTATAGCGTTTAAGTTATCACTGATAAATTCCTTAACAATAACAGCTTTGCAACATAGAAAGACAAATGTTTTAATGGAAACTGCAAAATCAAACACGGCAACACAGTATAAAGTCTTCTTCAGTAGCAGAGTCGACAGATGAATTAGCAATAACATCTTAGTTTCAAATAAAGCAAAAAAAAAAAAAAAAAAAAAAAAAAAAAAA